TGACCATCTCGTGGTGCTAATGGACGCCAACGCACGCACTGGTAGGAGGCGAGACGGGGAACGACTCCTTGGACTGGCATCAGACAACCACCTCTCCCTGACCAACACCTACTTCCGAACCCCGAAAGGTGGAGTGCAGCACACATTCCAGAGCTCCAACAAGACAAGGGGAAGGAGAAGTACCGCCTCGACTTCATCTTCATGCGTCAGACGAACCGGCGTTTCGTGCAGAATGTCTCCCTCAAACATGTCGACTTCAAGGACTCGGACCAAAACCTCGTGCTTACGACTGTCCGCCTACGAGTGCGGGGGAACAGCGGAAGCAGCCGGATCCGTATCAACCTCGAGCGGTTAACGAAGGACAAACACCTGCGGGCCGCCTTCCAAAACAGGGCCTCCAGCCGCCCTCCGCCCACGGCTCTCAGGCGGCCAACGGGAGAGATCACCGCCGAGCTGACGGCTACGGTGATGTCGGCCGCTGCTGAGACCGCGCCGCTGGCGAGGTGCGCACGAGGGCAGAGAGGCTGGTACACGACCGAAGCGCAGGACGAGATCTCCGAAGCGTCTAAAGAGATAAAGGCGGCCCAGCAGCAACTGCGTGGGGCCTCAAAATACAGCGCCTTCGAGGCGACCCTGAAGGCGATGCTCAAGGCGGCGCGGAAGAAGCGCAGCATCGCGAAGTGGAGAGCACTGGAAACGTTCTTCGAGAGCTATGTACGTCAGCTCGAAAAGAAGAGCCGCGAGGGGGATCAGGCGGGTTTCTACAGGCACCTGAAGATGATCGACGTCGAAGGTAAGAGGTCGNCCAGCGCGCGAGGGAAGCAGAAGCAGAGAGTACCGCCATCTCAGGACCGAAGAGAAAGAAAGTCGGGGAAGCGGCGGTGGGGGGGAAGAAACGGCGACCGGGCACTGCTGTAGAAGCGAGTAGGGCGTCCGAGGCAGCACTTGTGGCGAACTATGTACCCGGCTGATGTTGTTGTGCCCTGTTTCCCTCCCTGCTGTATGCTATACTCCTTCGTGTATGTCCGNATGGCCAACAGAAAGGCCGTCGGGCCGGACGACCTACCGGCTGAGCTGATCAATCTTTTCCTGGACGGAGATCAAAGTCTCCTCCGCGAGTTTCACGCCAANGCGACCGGGCACTGCTGTAGAAGCGAGTAGGGCGGCCGAGGCAACACTTATGGCGAACTATGTACCCGGCTGATGTTGTTGTGCCCTGTTTCCCTCCCTGCTGTATGCTATACTCCTTCGTGTATGTCCGTTGTATTGCCTTCGGCCTCTGTGCTGTGTTTCTTTTTTTTCATGTCCTCCTGCCTACTCTGCTGTGTTGGGTACCTTGATCTCGATTTTGCTGTTGCTTTTGTTTTTTGTACATCTGGATGTCTGCCCGTCTGCCGCCTCTTTGTCCTGTTTGATCCGTTACTCCCATGCCCTGGTGCGTAGTGCCTGGTGCTGGTACGTTACTCTTTGATTTTTTCTGAAGGCGGGTGTGGGAAGCGTACGCCTTTATTTTTGTTTTTGTTTTATTTTGATCGGTTTCCGAGGGCTTCTTTTCTCGAACGGTCGGTGCGGTACCTGTTATATTCTTTTGATCATTTTGTTTTCTTTTTCCGAGTGGTTCATACCTTGTTTTTGTTTTGTTTCCCCGCGGCGTCGTATGTGCCGGGTTTTGAGACCACAGGCTCCTCATTTTTTGTGGACTATAGAGCTAATGTGAGAACCGACGACAACAACAACAACAACAACAACAACAACAACAACAACAACAACAACAACAACAACAACAACAACAACAACAACAACAACAACAACAACAACAACAACAACAACAACAACAGCAACAACAACAACAACAACAACATACATACGCCCATTTAAAAAAAATGTCCCTTAGTAGTAGTAGGTCGGTTTACTCTACATAATTTTTGTTGTTGCTTGTGTCTTCACCTAACAACCCATTAATCTATCTATGCTAAATATGTTGCCCTGGTCAGGACTGCCTCCAATACTCCCACAGTGCATGTTCTATTTTCGGTCATCGCTTCCTTGCAACCGGGGTCGTCGGCTACTAAGAGGCGGTGGGTGAGGAAACTATTACTATACCACTGGATCACGTTTGTATGTTTGTTTCACACCCAAATTTCCAGTTTCCAACAAGTTCGCTAGAGCTAGTTCCACAAAGCGCACCCGAAATCTGTGTACGTACGACATAGCCTCGATAGTCTACAGCACGCCATCGAGAGTATTGGAGAATAGTCTATATCCATGTGATGTCACGCAGCCCGGGGACAAAAAAGACAGAAACACACCAAGAAGAACGGAGTGGACCTGACGCATAGAAGAGCTTTGAAGAAGACGCCAAAAGGGTGCTGGTCTGAGAAGAAGAAGCAGAAGCACTGCTGCTAGCGTTTGGCACCGGTGTCGCTTCGTTTGAGAATCCCCACAGAGAACGTCGAGGTCTATGTAGGTCTTGCTACATGTACGGCGCCGCCGCAACCTGGAAGCTTTCGTGGGCTCAGGCAAATCGCTACATCGTCGTCGTACATACAATACATGTGCACCGGTCGCCCCGGTGGTCTAGTGGGTAGCCTCGCAGCCTGCCAAGGGCCAGGTAATGGGTACAGAGTGAATTTTTTCTGGCTAAGTAAATCCTGGTCTCCGTTGGAAGCGACCGCTGCAAAGCTCGTTGTTAGTAAACTTGATCGACTTCACAAGTCGCGAGGGAAGGGATTGATGTACCCTTCTCGCGAAAAAAACATCTCAGGCAGGAATCGCAGGAGGGGTTCCAACCTCCCCTCCTATGTGACCCCGGTGAGGTCGTCTAGCTGGTAGAAGTGGAGGATAGGGGCCACAAAGGTAGACCACAGAGTCCAATGATGGAAGACAAAAACATAAATAAAATACAAAAAGCAAAATGTGGACCAAAAGAGTGAATGAAAACACTACGCGAGGTGTGTAGGTTTTTCTCTGCCTAGGTTGGAATTCCAGACCAGAAACCAATCCTTGGAAATCCGTTGCCGTTTCTGCAGAGCACGCGTCCGTCGGGCTATGCTTTGTTAAAACGGATAGACGGACGGGTGGTAACAGCCACGGACAAGCAGCAAAACGGGGACCGTTCGCGCGAACGCCGTCGTTGGCAGCTGTACTCCGGTAGCTGTTTCGCGTGCGGCGAACCGCATATTTGCAGACCAAGACTTCGACTCCCTCCCATAGGCAGGTCCACTGCGATGCCAACACCCTCAGAAATCAACCGTCCACCGGCGAGATCAAGACCTGAGCCGAATTCATGGCACGGCCTCGGTCGTGCACCCCAGCGCGGTTGGATCCGCTGCCGAGAGCCCTGGAGGGGGCGACCATGTCCGAACCAAAAAAAAAGAAACACCGCTTCTGAGGTGACTGTTTAATTCGGACGCTAAACTGCACGATCGCAACAACGGCCTTCCTACCAAAGTGGAGAAGCCGAGGAACTACTGCTGTGTTCTCGACAAGAAGGCCTATTCTCGCCATCAGGGTCCAGGCTCACTTTCACACAAAACCTCAACATCTTCCACGCCAATTCGTTGCACGCCCGCGCTGGAAGCATAAAACGCATCGGGGGCGATGCTGAGCAATACCCGTCCAAACATTTCCGCCAACAGACCCAACAACTAGTTCTGGTATGAGGTATGGGTTTGTGGGCGGACACAAGTCGCTGGATCGAGCTTGCAACAGGGGAAAGAGAGGAGGGGGTTGACAAAAAAAAACAAGCATAAACGAGGGCATCACCGTTGTCCACTCATCCTCACGAAACAAGATCCGCGTCATCTGAAGACACAAAGAAGAAACAACCAACATCATTTGCCAAAAATCATCCCGCGTTCCGAACTTATCAATCCAGCTCGGAGAGGTCCGATCCCTGCGCAGATGAGGGCGCTTGGTTCTCCTTCTCCTTCTGCTGCAGTTGATGTTGCTGCATCTCCTGCACCGCCTGAAACTCCTGCTGGAGTGCCTTGAGCGCGTACTCACACGCCTCCGCAGCCCTCGCGGACGCCATGCCTTCCTTACCTCGAACCACTAGCAGGGCCTCGGTCAGGGCATCGGCTACCCCTCCGAGCAGCAGCATCGGCCTGATCATAGCAGGCGTAGCGAGGCGAGAGGACAAGATTGGGATAAGAGTATGACAATGCTATGTTGCTGTTTTGAGACGGGGGCTAGGCCACGGATAGGTCGGTTCCTTCTACCCTGCAAAGTGTCTCACATGTCCTGTAACAGATCCTGCTTCGCCTGGTGGCGATGTTACGGTAGCAGAATGCCGCCGAAGAGAGACCAATAGCGAGAAGAGACCGGGCCTCCAACACAAGTTTTGGGGGGGAGCGACCAACATGCTCTTGTACACACAGCCAGAGGCAGACATGTCCTGTTCCCTATTCTCCTGCTATCAGCACCCACAGAAAGGCAGACTCCGTATCAGAGCCGGTCCAAAGCCGGTCGCAAACCACGATGGTGTATTCCCCCCCCCATCGAGACAACTAGCAGTTCTATCTGACTTCCTTGTACGCCTGGTGTACACATCGCCTCTGCGTATTGAGCTTCCGTTGTGACGAAACACGCATATCTCCGTTCCATAACGCCTGTCGCTGTCGGTCGGCATCACGTACCGTCGCCCGATATGAACAAGTCCGATGTAAGGAAAGCCATCATGTTCATCTGCTTGAGTACTCGCCGTTTCGTCGAGAGTGCGAAACCAACCAACATACGCCGGAGTAATCCCTCACAACACGGCACACCGTCGTCTGCAAGCAACTATTTTCAAGTCGCTTCGCACTCCGAAAAAAAACAAAAACAAACAGTACAGCAGTAGCGACCATCCCGAGCGAGACACATTGGTAAGCAAGTCACGTGCAAGACACGCCACGGCTAAGCCCTTACATATCTTGTACCTGCGCCACGACATCCGCTAAACACAAGAGCAAGATCGACTCGCACATCACGATCTCCGCCACGTAAGCCTGGTCTAAACATACCAGAGATCCAAAGCCATCTGGCGATCCGCAAATGCCCAAAAAACAAAAGGTATGCGCGTTTTGCGCTACCCAAATCTCCCTGATTTCGGCCCGTTCTTACCGCCCCCGTCACTTACCTAATGCTGGCCTCCTCGGCGAGGTAGGACGTCGCGACGGCGGCCCTGAGGATGAGGTCGTTGGCGTTCGGTATGTCAGGCTCCACTGACAGGAGCCCGCATACCAGAGCTTCGCAGCCGGCCACCCCTTCCGCCATGAAGTTCTTTGCCACCTTAATTAATTAGTTCAGTCGAAACCGCAAGCGGCATTGTTTGCGTGATCAATGCGGTCAGTTCTGATGTGGGCAATTTTTGGTGTCTAAAATACCATAGGAAATGAATGGTGTGGGGTCTTTTTCCAAGGGGGGGGGGGGGGGGGGGGGGGNGGGGGGGGGGGGGGGGGGGGGGGGGGGGGGGGGGGGGGGGGGGGGGGGGGGGGGGGGGGGTGATAGCGCCTGAATACCGACGTCATCCGTGCGTGTTGTCATCGTGTGGAGTGTGGAGTGTGGAGCGCGTATTGTGTTACATCATTGCCGACCTTTAAACCTTGAGGGAAAACGCACCACCACCGGCGGGGCGAAAGCGCCTTCATCTATAAAAACCTAACTAACGCATCCGTCTCGCGCGCATGACACAGCCCGGATCAAGCCTGACAACCCTCTTCTACGGAGACGCCCCCTTTCGCTTCCATCACTGAGACATGAACCTCACGAGCACTTCTCAAATGAATCACACTCCAGATCGGAGCCCGTCTGGTGAAAATGCAGCATGATGGAGGGATACAGACATAAGGCTTGGTAAAATACACCCGCTGCCACAAAGAAAGGCTCTCAATCTTCAACTTACAGCGTAAGCAAGATTCTAGAAAGTCTCACAGCGCAGCAGGATGCCCACCAGCGCCGCATGAACAAAAATGGCAGGTAGACCCCGAACTTGTTCATTTCGAGCCGTCGCCACACACATAGACGGCATCGAATCTGTAGGTCGCTGTCTAACAACTCGCATCTCTAACTATTCACAACTCCGGACAACAAGGAGAAGCGAACCTCCTTTGCGACAACGAAGGAATGCTGAAACTGAAGACGACATATGAAAAAGTCCACCTTCCACAAATAAACAAAAACAACAAAGTGCACAACCTCACCACCAAAAAATACACAACGATTGGCAACAATATATCCTCCTCCTTTTCAGCTCGCTCTTTCTCACCTCAGGATCCCTCACAGCCATGGCCAAGCACCCGAGCGCTGCTGCAGCGGTGGGGGGGTCCTCCTCGCCCAGCTGAGCGAACGCTGCCCAGAGCTTGAGCGTGTCGACGAGTCTGAGGTGGTCGATCATCTTGGGGTGCGGCAGGAGGTTACACAACGCCTCCGTTGCGGCTCGCCGAACCAGCTCGTGGTCGGAGAACTGCCAGGTTCAGGTCGCGGTTCGGCGGGCAGCGATGTGGCGGGAGAGGGGGGAGGGGGTTGGAAAGGGCTCAATACCACGCAGGCCGTCGTTGGCAGAGCATTGACCGTGGCATGCCTACAAAAACGGGACATTGAGCCAACGTCTTCGTCGACCAGGTAAGGGGGGCGAGGGCGCCTCATGCACCGCGATGCCAGTACTTCATGGTCCACATGAGATGTACGTGCGTAGTGCGTGCTTACGATAGTCGTGTGTTGTCCTTGAGCTGCCCGCTCTCATTCTTGCATCGGCGTACAGGTACTGAAATCACCAGCAGCACACGTTCATTTCTGGCGTAACTTTTCCCACCAAGCTCAAGCAAGAGCCAAGAAGACCTCCACGTGCGGTCCAACGGACAAACAGGGCTTCCGTCAACGGATGCTGTCCACTATTGAGGTCTAACGAGGAAAACACGAGGGGGGTATTTTCCAACAACTACGCCAGTAAGATTGCCCGGGGATGACCGCAGGACAAGTCAAAGGGTGTTCTGTTGTGTATTTCCGTCTCATATATTCTAGCGCGGGTCTACATGTCCACCTTTCGAAGTACTGTATATGGGTGTGCGTATCAGTCGGTGGCACACAGGAAGGAGGTACCGTAACACAAGGATTTTCGTTTTCGTGGTTGCTTGTTCCCTATTCTGCTCGACCTTTCAAGCCATCGAACGTAACAAGTAACAGAGACAACAACAACAACAACAACAACCTGTAGGTACTGGAAGCACGAGATTCCCTTCTCTGCCACGATGCGATTCTTGACGTTGTCCAAGCTGGCCAGGTTTGTCAGCGCCATCAGGCCTTCAAACTGCTGCAGGTTGAGAGACTCGTGGTCCCTGCACATGGTGATGAGGGCAGGCACCGACCTGACGGCGAGGCAAGGGACACAGGCCAAGGAGGTAGTTGCAAAAAATATAAGAAGCAGCCAAACAGTCTCGCGGGCAGGAGGACTATTGATTTTGCAAAGACGAACACCGTCCGTCGAAGATACGGTGAGACGTTCTCGATGGGGAGGACATCACAAAAGCCAACAGGGAATGAAGCTGCGGAGCGAGAAAGACGGAGGGAGGGAAATATGGATAGACAGACATACGGAATGAGAGTAACCAGCGGTTGGCACCCTCACCTATCAAAAACCATGGGGTGTCATTGTCAAGGCAGGTAAACGAAGAAAAAAGGAGGTCAACAGACATACACCACGGCAAAGGCCTCGGCGGTAGGCACATCAGGTCCTTCGTTGGGCGGGCCTCGTTCTCACCCCATACACTGTGCCTCGGTGAGAAGGTTAGGATTCGTCGTGACCAGCGTCTTGGCGATGGCATGCCTCGCCTCGATGCGGCACCCCTTGCCTTTCTCCTCCTCCTGCTGCTGCTCCTTCTTGGCGTCTTCGCCCTTGCCCGCCGCCTTCGGCACCGAAGCCATGTTGATCAGCAGGCTCTGCCGTCATTCAGACCGCCGCCACGGTAGCCGTTCGCCAAAAACAATGACGCCACAGCAATAACAAAAACCCGGAAAACAGGTGAACAATGACAGGACGACATTTATGGGATCAATGGCGTTCGAAACCAAGGAAACGTCAACCCCGAGATTAGGCAACGAGCTCCGAAAAACGACAGCTTCGATTCAGAGCCTCCTTGTTCGGCTCGCCAATTTCATTCTTACACTGCAGTGGACGTCGTCAGCGGCACGAACCAGCTAGCCATTGGAAACTCTTCCCCTCACGCGGGCCTCGGCACATAGTACTCTGACCGTGGGCGGCTGGCGGGGGGGGGGCCGTCAACCTACCGAAGGCCAACAACAACGGAAACCCTGCGTTGCCTCACCAGCCCTCCCTGCTGCACAATCAGCCCTCGGTTCGAGGGGTCGGTGGCCAGCCTGCGGAAGCAGAGGGCGATGCGCTCCCTCGTGGCCGGGCTCGCGTCCTCGGCGATCTTCTTGAGGGAGACCACGCACCCCGCTTCCGCGAGAGCGTGGGACCTGTGGTTATTGTTGGCCGGCAAGACGCGACGCGGGGGGGGGGGGGGGA